GAAGATCTTTTTTGATCTTTGAGTATACACTAAACTGTTTACCTCAGATGTAAATACTACTGAATGCAAATGTTACCACAATTTTTAAAGTATTTCAAATTTAAAAGGTGCAAAGATGTTATTTAAACTTCTCACTTGTTCAAGCCACAACTATCAAATAGCAAACCTTTGTAACCACATTTGAAGACAGAAGCATCACTGGCACTGACAAGACTGTATAATTAGAAAAGCTCAAGAGTTAGTTTTCATAATTAGATCTTTCTAACTTGTACAGTGATTTTTTTTTCTATTAACCAAGAAGGAACATTAGTTAAATAAAAGGAGTCACCAAAAATAGACTTTTCAACAGAAATTACTTTTTAGTTCCATAATTCAGATTCTAATGTGTACTTAAATATAACTCTGAGAAAGAAGTTACCTGAAAAATTGCAATATGCCTTCCACCTCCATTTTAAGCAACCCAGAGCATGCACACTGCAACACAAGGTGGAGTGCAAAGGTTTGGTTCAGCAACACCCTGCAGTTAATTCCAAGAAAATGAGTCAAAAAACTAGAAAGACACCAGAACACAGGTGTATGTGGCAAAATAAAACTGCTGCTCTCCCATGAGGATTATTTCATTGATTTATATGTCTAAAAAAGACAGCAGGACAGCCCTCCAAAAGCAAAGCTTACCAAAAGTTACTGAAATAATATGTAACACTCACTCCCAGCACCTACAAAAGTACCACTCATACAAGTTCTCAACAATGATCTCTCTGACGGACATTCAGTGATACCAGTATGAGGAAGAAAACACCACCAAAACATGTGTTGCCAGGATGAAGTCCAGCATATTACCTGCCTCCAAGAAGGACTACTAAGACCTGAGAGCAAAGAGCAATACGAAGAAGTTTCCATCAATACAAAACCAAGAAACACAAACAAGGTAAACAAACCAGCAGTCAAGGGCAGAGCAGAAGAAAAATGTGTAACTTTTAAAAAAAGTTTTTGAAATCTTTTGTTTAAAACCATGGGACATACATCTTAGAAGAAAAAGCAAATAATATATGTCTTAATAGACAGTATAAAAAAAGATAAACTATGTAATCTGGCTGAGAGTTTACTCCTTTCTCTATAAAAACGTACATACAGAAAATCACCATTAAGATATTTCAAGTTAGGGTTAATATCAACTAGAAATTACAGGAATTAAACAAACACATTCAAGTTCTTTGCCTTCCAAATTACCAAGGGTCAAATTTTAACCACTCTGTATTTCCCTGTTCACAAAAGTTATCTTATTCACGGCAAAAATTTTAAAGTATAAAACAGATAATAATCCCACCATCCAGAGGTGACCGCTATCACCATTTGTCTTGATCCTCCCAGATACATGTTGAGACACACACACATATACACACACACATTTAGACATACATAGCTATGGAGGACCTAGAGGAGGAACTCCACTAGCTTGCTCTTTTCATGTCACACATCACAAGTCTCTTTTCATGTTCAAGAGGGCAAGGGCATCCTTTAGGAACGTGTAGTCCCCTGACCATCATTCATTTAACCCTGCAGAAAAATCTACCCTGGGTCCACCTGTTTTCAAGGCTGCAGACAAACAGCTGGTACATGTATCCTTGAGCACATCTTAGGTTAACCCTTGGATAACTTCATCAACCTGGAACTACTGAGCCAAAGGACTTTCAGGCTTTTGATACTGTCACAAACAGTGAAGGGTTTGCAATTTTACCCTTCTTGCAGGCTAATAAGGTAAGCCTGCCACTGTTTCATGGAGGCTGTGAGAAGGCACAACACTCCTAGTCACAGACTAGGACAATTTACTACTCTTAACGACAGCAATGTCATCTGGGGGCCAGCTCCCTGAGACCCAGTTCTCAGCGGGCTCTCAGACGAAGAGGGCCAGGTGACCCTGCACAAAGGGAGCCATGTTATGGGGGGACCTGAGTTCAGGGGACTGTTATCATGAGCAGAAAGCGGGCCTGCCCCTTGCTCCAGAGAAAGACACACCTTTCCTTGAAAAGACAGGAACAAAGGGCAGTCAGTGCCCTGCTCCCCAAACATGCACAGACATGAGAGAACTGTGGAAGACTGTTTCCCATCTTCAAGGTAGTCCTCCAGTAGAATAAATACCTGACCAGAATTTTTATTTTTGCCAATATTAAGATAGGTTAGAATTCACAACTGCCTTAACTTTATTAAATATATTTTATACACTTAGTAATCATCTGTCTTATTTTTGTATTATCTTCTCACATTTTTTTGCCCTTCTTTTTACAGGAGTGCTCATCTGTATATACAGAACACACCAAATACATTAACTTTACTAAATACATTACTCTGAACTTGTTTATACTGTTTTGGGGTATTTGTGTATGATAAAATCATTCTTTTCCTTTATGGCTTAAAAAGGCGTAATACCAAGAACAGTAGAGTAAAACCAAAACAACTTGGTGTGCATTTTTTCCCCGTTCTCTATGATGTCCTTAATCATGGAACTCCCAACATTGGCTGAACATGCTGTCACCTAATAAAACACTATTTCGCCAGCCTCCTTTGCTGTGAGGTACAGCCATGTGACTAATGAGTAATTAATGAGATGTTTATGAAGTGCTATTTGAGAACTCTGGGATGTCTCCTCAAATGGCGGGCCTGTTCAACCTCACTGCAATCCACTTCCTGGATGTGGACCACGGCAAGCACAGAGCCCTGGAACTGCATGGAAGTCTGGAAGAAGCCTGGGCACCAGGCTGCCTGGTGAGGCCAACACCAGATCTGAAATGCTTTGGGGAATTGTTTGACGTTAGTGAGAAATAAACTTGTACTATTCGGTGAGTTTTCTGTTTCGCAGGTGAGCCTAAAGCTGGCACACTATTATTAAAACATTTTCTTTGAATACATGTAAAATCTGGTATTAACTAATCTCAGATCAATACTGGCAGAAGGTTCAAGGAACGGGTCTAACTTCTGCCCCAGTGATTAAGCATTCCTAAGTAGTAATATGTCTGAGATATTATCATATTAATTCATACATGTCGCAAGTTCATATACTTTATGGGCTGGGACTGATCATTAATGTTCCTCCAAAGACACCTATCTCTCTCCCTGAATCTCTCTGTTCAGAAGACATGAAAATGGAAGGAACGATTACCATTTTTAAATAATAACCCACTCCTGCTTAAATATTTCAATGAATATAGCTCAGGAACCAAAGCTTGAAATATCTAAATCTACAAGTCATACAAGTCATACCCTCTGTCAGTTCCAGAAGGCATTCAAGCTAAAGTGTAACACCTATTAGAAGTCTTATTTAACTGCTTTACAATAAAATAGTTTATATTTCCAGAGATCATCTAAAGATTAAAACCTGCAAAACCTTTTCTCACTCTAAAACATACTACAAACACAACATGTTATTGTGTAGTAAGAGTAAGGAGAAGTACTACCTAGAATACTGAAAGAGTAAGTTACAGGGGAAAAAAATCAGTGGACTTAATTTTTCCACGACAGAGTCTTACAAATTAATGAAGAGGACATGAACTAACTGATAGGCACTGGGTCCCTCAGTTTCCCTCTCAACGACTCACCCTCAGAACGATCCCCACAGCCACCTCCGTCAGGCCCCTACCCACACACAATCCTTTAACAAGCTTTTAGCTCTCTCTCAGACCTAATCGAGGCTCATAATGGCCTTGTACTGGGCAATGAGTACATAGGATGCGGTGCTAAGCATGACCCACATAAATCAGTCTCCCTGAACCTCGGGGCGGGGGCTCATTACTCAGAACAGAGCAGTTATCAATAGGAGAACCACTTCTTAACATTTTCTTTAGCTTTGGTTCCTTTGGCTAAATATATCTGTCTACAATTGAAGAATCCGGGCAAAGCGATCTACTATTCTTCTATCTTTTCTCTAAGTTTCAAATTATTTCAAAGAGCAAAACAGAGAGAAAGCACAAAAAGAAAAATCAAATATAGCTTATTGGGGAAGAGCAAGGATGTATCCCAGAATGTGTCTGTACATGTCCACACACACTGTCATGGGAAAACAAAGGGTAATGCTTTGTATACTGAGTTCATAAAACACTGCTGTAAGACCTAATGTAAATGACCTAAGCCAGTGAAATATCACTTTTTCATGACCTCTTGGGGAAAAGGGGGAAAGTATTAAGGAAAATAACTGAGAAAAAAACATTAAGAAGAAAAAAAAATCTTAAACCAACACGTTCTAAGACTACAGAATGACTTCATGGCTTACACACTTGACCCATGGGTCATGTTCTAAGGATGGAAAATAGAACTCACCGGCCTCCATCTCACAGCACACCCCAATCTGTCCCGACAACACGGAGTTCTCCAGATGTGCTTCACAAAAGGTTACCTCTTCCATAAAGTCTCAACACCCCAACCCACCCTCAAGACACACGCCCAACCAGACAGGCCCCGGTGAGGGCTCTCAGAGCAGGCCCTGAGCCTCTCTGCCAGCAGGCCTGCTACCCTGCCCTCACTGGAGTGTGCCCTCGTCTTCTCTCCCCCGTTTCAGACTGCAAGTTCTGTGAGCGCAAGAACCAAGCCTCTCAATCATCCGCTTCTTTGATACCTAACACAGCACCTCAATCCAGGGAACTCTGCAGTATCTTCTGAATAATGGTCAAATTTAACTGATGCTAATTAACTTAAAATAATCCCAGTACTTCTTTCAAAGCACCAACATATACTGCGCATTTCAAAAGATTCCTACCCACACCCCATTAAAAAGGTAAGACATTCCAACACTCAAAGGGCAGGCATCTATCCGGAGAACACAGCTCACCAGAAGTCACTGTCCAAAGATTCTTGCAAGCTCAGGGATTTTGGTTTCTGCTTTTTTTAACTACACTCATACTTCAAAGAGGAGATGTATTAACTTTTCACCAACATTAAAAAGATGCTCATCATAAATACGGAAGGAAAAAAAAAACTAGCAAACTTTTGGACTAAAGATGAACAAATACCTCTTCGGTTTCAGGATCAACCTGGGAATCAGTAATCTCATCTAATTCCTCTTCAGCAACACAGTCTTCCTGCTCTTTCATCCCTTGTTGCCCACAAGCCTGCAAGTATTCTTCATCCTAACAGCCATTAAACAGAAAATAAGTTTTTCTCATATTGCTGTGGGGCTTGTAAGCACTTTTCATCTTCACGACTCATGCTTAGCTATGTTAGCAAACTGTACTATGCCAATGACCATCTGAGCAGAAAAGCACTCAGCACAAAACCAGAATGGGACCTCCCCTGAGCGTCAATGAGAGCAAAGCGCCGTATGCCAGCCTGGTCGGTACGGGGGGTGGCATGGACTCTGCCTCAACCTCCAGGGACCCCGACACACATTTCTTCTCAAAATCAACACCAAGGAGACGTAATCTTAAAAAAGAAAATGTGCGTGTGCTTGCACAGAGCAGCTCAGCAGCAGCACTGGAGCTGGAATCACACCCAACTTGAACTATTTTTACAACAATAGAAGACAACAAAAGTATGGGCAATTCAATTCAACACAGGCGCTGTATTAAAATTGCACGTTAGAACTAGTTTCTCCATCAGCCAACTCCTTTGAATTAGAAGGACGATCTCAGGTTTGCATGGAATGTAAGGAGCATGGCAGCAGGCAGGCAGCTCTTAAAAACACAGCGGAGGAAGCCGGCAAACTGCAAGGAAAGAAGGGCTCCAACAGGTATTACTTACTACGTGTAACGGCTCCCCTCCAGGGGAGCTGAACTTACCTGCGTCCCTAGCCACCAGCTACAGTGAACCATCGACAGTTATAAGGCGGGGGAAGAGCAGAGGAGCCGCGGGACCTGCACAGCCCACTGCTCGGGGCCCAGCAGTCTCGCCGCAGAGAACTGCAGCAGCACACAAGGTGGGGACCGCCTGAGGCCCCCAGCTGTCTCTCAAGGCTGCCCCTACATACTGCATTTTACTTCCCCAAGGAAACTGCTACCGTTCCACCTCAAAGGGCGACCATCACTACCCACGACCCACTGAGAGCAGGACTGTTCAGATTTCAAAAAGGCCGTAAGAAGCAAGCAAGCGAACAGACAAGGGAGCACAGTCCACACCACAGAATTCTCACGGGGAAACAAAAATCCGCTACCTGTTACACAAATTCCCAATCTAAAGCTGTTTTTACAGAACACTGCTTTACAAAATCTCAATCTATGCTAACTTTAAAGGCACTAAATCTAGTTATGCTCAGCAGCACCTGACAATGTTCTAATATCCTATTGAATAATAAAGAATTCACATCTCTTCCTAATACAAGAACACGAGTTTTTATATCAAATCTCAACTCACCTTCTCAAGATCAGGACAGCAAAAGTCAAAAAAAAAAAAAAACTGCTTTTGAGTATGACAGGAAAGAACACTACAGTTTGCTATCAACTTTTCAGGTAAGTGTCCCTTCTAGTTGTAACATTCTGCAATATTATAATTCTACTCCCAGTTACGGAATCCCTCCATCTGGCCTGCGTGAGCTCAAACAGAACACACTCGGGATCAGCAGAGAGCTCAATTCCAGCTCCAGTGTATGAGCCAGCACAGCCTAACCAGGACACGAACCACAGTTAAATACACCGTTTAAAAACTAAAATACCTCTGGGACATTCAGGGACGCAACCGATTCATGTGTCCATTAGTCTAATGATGAATAACTAACCAACCCGTGCCCCAGTGACAGCCTAAGAACACAGGAAGAGGCCTTCACCACAGAGCTGGGGAAGCATTTCACAGCTGGAGTGCGCTCTTCCCTCCCCACGCAAAGAGGAGGCAGTGCCTGAGTCTACTGTGACAACTATCAAGAAGAAACCGGAAATTTTAAACTGGGAAGAAAAGAAAGAGCATGGACATAAACCTGGATATACTGAGGGGGGCTGACACTGCTCCAGAAAGATACTGACCTTCACCTCACCTTTAAACTTTACAACTCTGTATAAAAATATTTAGAGACATTCAGAATTCTTAAGTAAACTTCCAGATTTTTTAATTCTGAAAAAATTAATTTTAATGTAGATAAGTACTGTGACTGTATTGAATTTGCATTTTTTTTCAATACCTGAATCTTTGGCACAAGATGTCAGATGGTTTAAGGTGAATTTTATACAATGAGGAGCCTAAATGTAACTCCAAGTTTGGAAAACAAGAGAGAGAAATTCCTCACTTACTAGAAACCCTCTTTACAACAAAGTCTGCGAGAACACCAGTGAGAGGGGCCTCTTCCGTGACCATGTGTAGGCACTACCAAGCACTGCTCACACAGTGACCGCTCCACTAAATCCTAAGCCCTCAGAAGGCAGGGGCCATGCTTCATGTTTCAGCAGTGCTCGTGTCCCCACTGCTTCCACACTGGTAAAGATCTGTTGAAATGCTGAACTTACAAGGGATACGACTGACCAATCACCTCATCTTAGTGATGAGTAGTAGAAATAACACAACACTAACTAGCAGATACTTGGGCACAGTTTTAAAAGATTCTGGCCTAATTTTTGAGGACCATTTTAAGCCACAGTGTCTCACTCTAACACGGTCCATGAACACACTATAAACCAGAGACCACCAGTCCACACCACTGCAGCATTTATCACCAAAACAAACCATTAGAGAGTTACCAAAAGAACAAGGGCTCACCGTTCCTCTTACACGGCTCTGTTTACCAAAACTACACACCTCTTTCCGTGATTACGTCTACTAAAGAGAAAGCACTCAAAAAGAATCAAACCTTAAAGTAACTACTGAGATACGGAAACACAACCATGTCTGGAACTAAATATTCTAAGGCTCCATATAAACAATCTCTTTCAAAACTACACACACACACATTTTTTTCTGAAATAAAAAGTCATTTACTCTGAATGAAAACATAAAGGCAGAATTCTCGCCCTAAACCTGCTGACCTCCACCCCATCCCAGCAGCCCCCAACATGGCACCACAGGAGCCCAGCATGCTGAAAACCCTAAGATTCTACTGCATCTATGGAAATCTCGCCCTTACAACAGAAAGTTCACTAAGTGTTCATTTCATAAACAAATCTCTCCCAACAAGGAATCATTAAGACAGATGATCTTTCACTAATACCTTTTTCTTTTTGACTATTCAACCTTAAAAAAAAAAAAAAACCCTACCTACCAAAAGCACCTTTCTGAAATAAAAATCAGCACAATCTCTGCTTCCTGATTACAGATAACAAATTGTGTGTGACATTTCCTAAACTAACCTCCAATCTCTTTATTCATGTTTAGACAGTTCTCAGTTACAAAAAAGGATGAATGAGCAGGACATCAATCACTCTGGAATATTAGCACCTTAAAGATGTCTTTAGCAGGTCAATAATCTTTTCACCTTAGAAGGACTTTATCAGATCTTGTCTAAAGCCTGGATAAAAGCTCTGCATTAAGTACTTCTAACAATTGACAGTGTATCTCCACCACACAAAGCTGTTTTCTTCCTTAGGGTGCAATCCTCAAGGTCACAATTCTGTGCAGCCTTCCACAATGACAAAGGAGCATTCGCTCTGGCCAAACAAGCTGTCAACACAAACTTTGTCATAGCTCAGATAAAGAAACTGGCAGACAGCGATAATAAGGTCTAATTTCCCTCCCTCCCAGGGGAGGGAAATAGATTTCAAATCAGTCTAGAAACCCGTGCCCAGGCAGCCACGCTATCTTCGGCCACACAAAGGAGAGCGACTCACTGTGAACTCGTCTAAGGGCTCATTGATCTCGATGTCCAGGACCTCGTCGTTGAACAGCGGCTCCTCCTCGGGCCCCTCCACGTACTCTATGTGGTCCTCCGGGAGCTCGGCGTCGGGGCCCTCGTACGGCCCCTCTTCTGGGTACTCGTGAGCATACAGCTCAGACCCACCCGACTTGTGATAGACGAGCTCATCCTCGCCTTGCTCATACTCGGACTCCTGCTCTGCAGACTGGTCATTAGTGTCAGACATCTCGAACGACGTGACCATGTCTGACGTGGCCGTCAGACTGATCGTGACATCCTGAGCACTACAGAGGACAGAAACACAAAGAAAGGCAGGCAGCTGGGGTGGAGCGCAAAACTAAACCATCACAAGAGTTAATGGCTATCAGAGGCCAGCGAGAAGCCGACTCAGCAACTGGGGAATGCACACAGACCACAAGAGTGGCCACACGTGAGACGCATGTGCCACACTCAGCCCGCGCCAGACTCCTGCCGCACGGAGCGCCCGCACCATCATCACTCCCGCGACCTGAGCAGGAGAATCAGGCCAACCGTGAGAAACAGGTCTACCCAGCCAAAGTCCAGGACCGAAAACAGACCACGTTTCACTCTACCTTTCAGAATGAAAAGGGTGGCGTCCATTTTCTAAGACACCCAAGTAACACTAGGAGTACTGCTCTCTAAACTGGAAAGCACAGGTTGAATTTTTTAATTGGGAGGACAAGCGCTTTACAACGTTGCGCCGGTTATCTGCCATACAACATGAATCAGCCATAAGTCTATATACATCCTCCCCACACTGATGGAATTTTAAGAGTTTTCTTACATCTATGATGCCAACCATAAACTCGTATTTTAAAAAATCAAAACATTAAAAGTCAGCATGTAAATACATTTCAATGTTTATCTAAATCAAGTTTATACTAACCTCAAATTTGTTTAAAATAGTTAATTTCTGAGTGAAATAAACAAAGGCAATTTTAAAACTGAAAAAAAAAATATATTCCACCTGTTAAATCACAACAGACAAATGTCAAACAATTAAGATGCATAATAACAACATTTAAAGGGCAAGGTTTTAGGGCTAAATCTAAGTTTGCACCCATTAAGTATACAATCCTAACAAAAAAACTGAACATTCCACACACACGTGAAGATACTACATGGCTAAAAACTCCTGAAAAGTATACTTCAAGGGCAATGTAATTCAAAAGATCAAAGTCTAATAATGATACCAGAGAATGAAATTGGGAAACAAATAACTGGTAGAATAAATAATTTAAAACTTACTGTTACCCATAAAAATTACTTTATGTTAAAAAATATCTATTACACGTCTATAGCTCAATAACAAATAGCATCTATTTGTTAATTACATTTATAAACAAGTGTCTTTATTTTCACAGTAAATGTTTCCTCATAAAATTGAAAAGAATTATTTCACTTAACAAGAGTAAATACCTTTAATATAGTAATTAGTTTATTAATATAATTATATTATAATATAATCATACAGTAAAGATACACTACATTATCTTTTATATCCCGCTATAATTATAAATCAGTTACTAGAAATTTAAACAAAGAACATTTTTAATGAGATAATATTCGGTACCAGAAATTTTCTTCGTCTTCATTATCACTCTGTAGGAGATCATCATTTAGCTCTTCATCTGACAAATCCGATTGATTCTAATTAAAGCAAGAAATCTAATTAATGCATGTCACTTCCATAAGAAAACTTGTTACAAAAGTCCAAAATTACGTTGACTGGATTATTTCTAACCTTGTTATTAAAACATTTGCCATTCACAAAGTTTTCTCAGTTTGATATAACCAGTGACAGTCAAGGTTCTACACATGGCATACTAGCTAACTCCCCCAGACTAATTTTTAGATGCTCAGTCAAGTAAGTATAGCAGAAGCAAGCATAAGGATCATATTATAAGTCTAACAAAGGAGACAAAAAAGAACAAGTCCTTTGGTAGTATGATATAAACAATTTTTTCTTATACCAAAAAAATGGTATCCTTAAGATTTGATTAAATTTAACATAAACAAAGGAAAAAATTAGTGGAATTTTAGAAAAAAGCAGATTTTAGATAACTAGACTGCCCAACTGAAATGGTAAGAGACTAAAATAAAACTCTGGTTTGTCCAGTAGACGGATACATGAAAATAAGCACAACTCGGATTCTCTCTCCTGTTCCTGACAGGTTTGTCTACTCATATTACGAGTTAAGCAGAGGCAGTCTAGCGAGTGTGCCAACTGGTCAAATTTCTAAAGTTACAGGTTTTGTTAAGCTAAATACATACCAGTATCTTAGATTTAAGATGGAGAACCACACACTTTCCTACCTTATTAAAATTATTTCTATGGTATATATAAATTACTACTCTTCCACAACATGCACACAAGGGGCGGGGGGGGGGGCGGGGGGGACGGACTTGATTTTCTACCTAACGATGAAAGAAATAAACCAGCAATCTTCTCCTGCCATTTTATAATTATAAACCTAGGCTTCTCAAACATATCTCTATTTACTCTTCATGAAGGTAGTTTTGATATAAGCCAAAAAAATCCATCTTATTTGTAGTTTTTATTAGTTGCCCTGGAATCTGTCATCCATTAACAGGGATGAGCCAGGCCTGCTATGCATGTGTGCATGCTAAGTTGCTTCAGTCATGTCCAACTCTGCAACCCCACAGACTGTAGCCTGTCAGGCACCTCTGTCCATGGGAGTGTCCAGGCAAGAATGCTGAAACGGGTTGCCATGCCCTCCTCCAGGGGATCTTCCCGACCCAAGAACTGAACTCAAGTCTCTTATGTTCCCTGCATTGGCAGGTGGGTTCTTCACCACTAGCACCACCTGGGAAGCCCGGGCCTGCTTTGGGAGAACTCAAGTTTAGCTGCCCAGGACCACTAAATAAAACCACAAGAAATCTTTAAAAAATAACAATTCAATAAAGCCAAATTTCATTCAATAACAGGCTGTTTCCTTCAGGTTTTTAGTTAAACTTCTAAATACTGGTCGAAAATAAATTACACACCAAACATGTATGTTTGGTATGTTGCATGTATGTTGCAGTAGGCCCTGATGGTAATCAAATCTCACTTTTTTGAGTTCTGAGGATTCAACTTTCTACGTTGGTTCTGAACTTGATGAGTAATAGACACAGGAGGCACAAAATAATGATCAAAATGACCAAAACACCCACGTTACTCGAAAAGCGGGAATGGCGGGCCACACTAAGCCCTGAGGCCACAACTACTCTGTTGGGATGACCTGGAGTGACGCCTCCTCAGGCAAGAGGGGAACAGCGAGGGTGGACCCTGCTCAGGGTGGTGGGCAGGAAAGCAGGGTGGGAAGAGTGAGAAACTAGCCACCAACGCTTGTGATCATGAGGGCCAGGTGGGCTCCCTGACAGAAACACAGGGCAAACTACATCAGGCTTGCCCAAGAGCAGAAATCCAACCGCGGGTAAAATTGTTTGACTACATTTAAACATTTTAACCTCTAACTGGTATCCCGCACGAAAGCATTTTAAATACTTACAAAGGAAAACACGTGTTTACCTTAGGGAAGTGAACTCCCAAATACAGGGAGTGCACGGCAAGGCGGTGCAAACTAAGCCAGAGGCAGACAACAGTCCCCACTTCCTCTGTGACCACCCCACGCTGAGGAGTGGCCCCGGGCCTGCCCTGCCCCAATCACACACACACAGGCATCCCAAGGCTGCCCGAGCTCACAAATGGGTGGGCTGAGGGGCACGCTCACGGCTTCTTCCCTTGCAGTCATTCTGACCACGCAGGCTTACAGGTAACAGAACGAATTCTTCTTTAGAGTAACGGGATGAGAGAGGAAAGGCTGAGGGAAGCCAGAGCCAGGACAGTGCAGGCCTCGAGGGCAGGACACAAAAGGAGAGCAGCTACAGCCACCAGTGTACTAAAGATGGGGACGCAGCGGAGTGAGAGGCAGGACAGGGGCGGGGCTGGCACCCCCGCCAGGACTGGACCTTCATCAAGCGAATTATAAATGAGATGAAAGGGAAAATCTCATCAGATCTGACCATCAGACAACTGATCTGACCCGATCACCTAAGAGAACAACGAGCTTGAGTGTAACTGCTGACAGTAAGGAGCCGTCACAGTCTGTGAAGACTTTAAAACTACTAAGCATACCACGAGCTTGATATTCAGTGAGACTAACAAGTGTCTTTAAATTGTTAATAAGTAAAAAAAAAAAATTAGTTTTTCACTTTAATATTTGGCTTTTCATTTTTATTTTTAATGTATGTTTCATAATGTTCAAAATATATTGGTAGAGTTATGTTATACATACAAATACATGATACATAAATATACACATTGGAGATAACAGCTTCCCAGTTTCTACTTGATCAAAGAAGTTCATATTTCAGGATAATTTTATCCTTATATCTGAATCCCAAAAAGCAAATTTCAGATTCAGCATTCAAAATATTAACCACCAAATGTTAAGTTCCTTCAAGGCAAGTGGTAGTTTTATTACAACTTTCATACACTCAATACCTGCTAAAATGCCTTGACATGCCAGAAACTAAAACATCTGCTTCAAAGAATTTACTGCCTGAATTACAAGTTATCAGAGAATTTACGGATAGTCAACTCTTTGCATATAAAAAGTAATCATTCCACAAAATTTTAATCTATACCCAACTTTCCAGTAACACATCCCATGCATAAGACGTATTTCTTATTTTAAATGCAATTAAATATCACTTAATTTCAGAAAGACCTGTATTGTTACCTTTTTGCCAGAGAGCAAATCCTCTCCAAGTAAGTCATCATCAAGTTCACTGTGGGGGAAAAAAAAAAAAAGACATGACAATGTTTTATTCCTACTAAACGCTGGAAAGTTTGCAGACCACTGGGGACATTTACCCAGGACTTTACGGTTTGGGTGCTTTCACATTAATTTTGCTATCTTTTCCTTTATCTTTATTAATAATGAAAACACATTTTCAAATACACAGGGAACATCTGATCCCTTAAGTACGGGAGTTTTTGGTGTAACTAGTGGCTCTCACTAGACTTCTTAGTTTTTCACCTCAATACAAGATCTTCACTTCTTTGGACTTGTTCATTAATGAGCAAAAGAAGAAACCATATGTAATATCTATGCTTTCTCTTATCTTTCAAAACATATGATGAAACAGGAAAAGACAGATGCCCCAATATCATTAACTAGGAAAATTAAAACCAAAACCACTGGGAGACCATTTAACACTCATCAACTGTAAAAACTTAAAAAATGAAAAATCAATGCTTATGAGAACATTCAAGTTTATCATAAAAACTAAAGGAATTATTTTCGTATGACAATGAAGTCATGTCAGCTGTCTGCAATTTCTGGTCAGCATGCTTATGTTTTGAAATGATCAAAAGCAGGTTTTCTCATAATTAAAACAGAAATTCTTAGCAGATGAGAAACCTAGAGACATTTCCCACTGCTTCCTTTTTAATTTTTGAACTGATGGAAGATAGCTACCACTAAATTATGTCCTTTTTTCCTTACTTTTGTATTTATTCTTATTAAGTTATGTCTTTTTAAAGCAAATGTCTAAGGACTAACATCTAGAAGAAGCAAACACAATTAGATTATGATTCTAGGAACAAATGCCAATGGAGACTCAACTGGACCAATGTTATTACAATTGTTACTTTTTTCATAAGGGTTCTGGTTACAAATTTCTATAGGTTCTATAGGTTTTGAGCACTATTTTACCCAAAACCCATGTTTATGTCTAGTGTGCTACTCTGCAGAATGACAGAATATCCTGGAATGCACATATGAAGTTACAACAGAAATTCAATGTACTATCTTTTAAAACTAGAAACAAATTACTTCATTCATGCACTGAATATCTCTTTTATTATTTTAAGTTACCCTACATAAATCCTATACCATCATTTTATAGATAGATAAAACAGGGACAACAGATAAAAACCTTTCCTGGACCTGCATAAATACAAGTTATCAGAGAACAATGTATAACTTCTTTCAACATTTTCAATCCTCAAATCATCTAATTATCTTTCAGATACAATTTCCGTATCTTCATTGTTACATTCATTCTCCAATGGTGAGGAAAGAAACACTTGCTAGTCACAATATTTACAACAACTGCTTTTGAGAATTTGATTCTAGATGATCCAAAAAATACAAGCACGTCTTTGAGGATAAGCACCCCTCTGGAGCATCACTCTAAATAACTGAAATCAGAAGGTAATATCATTTGCCCAGGGGATACTAACTGGGAAGAACTCTTAAAAACCATAGTATGAACAGGTGCTGGTCATCACACAGGCAAAAATCCAGAAAGTGTTTGTGCCTTTTGCTGACAAATAGATGGAAATAAGCAATCAATGACTTTGATGACTATTTTTCCTAAACAAGAGCATTTTTTCAAAGATAAATGAAAATTTTATCAGCTGTAAATGAAGAGTGTACAGAGATGAATAGTTGCTTCCATGACTAACAAAGGTAGTAAGAGAGCATTAAATAAGAAAGCAAGAGGAGAGATTAACCACACAAACAGCAATATGCATCAACTGCAGCTCAAGCAATCACTAACGTCCATTCCATATACTACGTGGCAAGAATCACTCTAGGTGTTGTACACAGCTCTTTTGCTGACTTACTGAAACGGAGCAGGACCGTGCGGCCCTTTCCCCTACCATGTCCTCTGCCCGCCTTTTGCCTGTGGAAAGCTTTAGTGAAAGAGCAAGTTTAATCAGAGAAGTGAGAAACGCTGAAACAAAGGAAAACAGTCTAAGGAGATGAATAAGAACAATGCAGTCACTAAGCATGGTCAAGGACCTTTAGTTCTTTCTCAAGGCAAGTGAACTCACTCAGTCAAGGCTCTTTGTGACCCCAGGGACTGCAGCCTGCCAGGCTCCTCCATCCATGGGATTTTCCAGGCAAGGATACTGGAGTGGGTTGCCAACTCCTTCTCCAGAGGAATCATCCCAACCCAGGGACTGAACCCAGGTCTCCTGCATTGCAGGCATACTCTTCATGGTCTGAGCCACCGGGGAATCTTTCTCAGGGGTTATAGATAATATTCTGAGCCATATCTTGTAATGGCTCTGTCTTATAGATACCAAAAGCCCAGGTGGAGAAGTTAACTACACGATGACCAGACTGTACCCAGGACCTGAGCTGCCATAATTCTGAGAATCGACCACAAAGAAATGGGAATGAAAGATTGAGGGCAGGAGGAGAAGGGGACAACAGAGGATGAGATGGTTGGATGGCATCACTGACTCAATGGACATGGGTTTGGGTGGACTCCGGAAGTTGGTGATGGACAGGGAGGCCTGGTGTGCTGCGGTTCATGGGGTTGCAGAGTCGGACACAACTGAGTGACTGAACTGAACTGAGACCCCAGAACTGAAGATTAAGTGTACCTAAAACAACCAAGATGATGCTACTCAGACGACTGATGACCAACTGAAGATGACTGTTAGAGATGACTGTGCTGTTTCTGCACGTAACCCCCCTCACCACCACTCTGTCTATAAATGCTTTCCTTTGCTGCTTCTTGGGCAGAGGGAGGAGTCCGCCTTTGGACAGACGTCTGCCACCCTTCCCACCCCAGCTGCCAGCACCTAAAATAAAGCAAACTTGCCTTTCCACCAGCCTGGCTTGTTTACTGACTTCTGAGCGGCGAGCAGCCCGACCCCCAACACATACATCTCCGTAACCAGACCATAACCCCATCAAGCACACATCATTCTCCACTTTTTACACGTGAAAACAAGGATTCAAGATGTTAGATAACTGGCCCAAGATCACCTTGCTACCAAGTCAGAAACCAGGTGAGTTGAGACAGTCTAGCACCAGAGTCCAAATCCTACCTACTACGCACACACCACACAAAAATTAAATGTACTTCTCCACTGTTATCATAAAGCAGGATCCTTATAAAGAGGTACACAAAAGGGAAGAAATTTGTAAAATATGAAACACTACCAAAATGACATCAATGGTCACCAGAATCAACGAATTAATGGGAGTGAGCGGCCCAAATCGCCTCTTTTCCAAGGGGTGAGCAGTAATGCTTGCAGACAATAAAGGTACTTAGAAAGTGACAGGAGTACCGAAAGGATGAGGTGGCATTCTGCGTCCCACTGCACAGCACCTGAGAGGCTTCACCAGCAGCCACTAGTTGAGGAAGACAATCAGATCTTTGGGAGCAGGTATATGTTTACTAACCGACAGAATTACATGGGAAACTTCTCAGGAAACAGGTATTTTGCAGGCAGTCATGGCTCAGATGGTAAAAATCCACCTGCAGTGCAGGAGACCAGGGCTTGAACCCTAGGTTGGTACTCTTGCCTGGAGAATCCCATGGACAGAGAAGCCTGGTGTATAAAGTCCATGGAGTGGCAAAGAGTCAGGCATGACTGAGCAACTAACACTTTCACTTTTTTTCACCTGGCTGCAGCCTTTCAAAATCAGAAATGTAAGTGACAACAAACACTGCACCTGAGCAGTCTCCACGTGCCTCCCCACTCCAGGCCACCCTCAGCTGCTCCCTCCCCGCCAGCTCCAGGCCCTAGAAGGGCTTCCAGCTCTGGCCCTTCTTCTGAATAGGCCTGGCCCATGGAGGTCTCAGCAGAACGTCACAAGGCAGAGGCGACAGCCGCTCCCTCCCACCTGCACTGCTCCAGCACCACCCACTCTTGCCACAGCGGCTCCGGCTGGATCCTGGGACATCACTTCTCCAGGAGCCAGCTGCTACACTCGGAACACCTCATCGACTCTTCCTGCTTATTTAACGCTGCCCCATTAAAAAAAACCCTTCATCAAATGACCTTCAGTTAAAACCTTCTGAACATGCTCTTTCCCATCTGGATATACAGCCTGTTACATTTTCTGACTCTTTCTTCTTAACTTTCAAAATTCACCCTCTATTACCCAGTACATAGAAGAAGTTGTTTTATGCTTTAGCAATATCAAATAAAGAAATACACAAGATACTGAACCTCAATATGCAAACATGCACAGAAGACGAGTAAAGAAAAGAAAAGACTGTTCAGAAACAACACAGGACAAGGGCTATTCACCCTAGAAAGGGCAAGGAAAATCAGAGCCCTGCCTCACACTATAAACAGAACCCAGCTCCATCAGAGAGGAAGCCAACCAATGTCATGACAGCCAAAATAAATCCCCACTGAACAAATACTGGGGCAATTGAAGCATTAATAAGATAACAATCATAATGGGTTATAAAAACACACATGCAGTATTTAAATCTATGAATTCAAAATGGTTCAAAAACAAAACACCTCTGGAAGATGCTAAGGAACTAACCCATTACTTTGAAAACTGGTAAATAAATGGAAAGAATCAAGTATACTCAAAAATATACCTCAAAAGAACCAAGTATAATTACAGAATTATCACAACTAACAGAAACAAGAAGGATTGACAGAATGAGAATATCATCACTTGGACCATCTAATGGTTGATAACATGGCAAAAAGAAGTTAACAAGACTCTGGGAAGCTCCTGCTGCAGGAACAAATGGCCAATGACAACACTGAAGAGCCCCTAACTTATGGGATATGGATCGTTTGCACTCCAAATCAAACTATAAGAGAGAACACAGAAACATATCCACACTACACATGTGTATGTATTTGTAATATATATGAAAGTGTCAAAGTGTTAATCACTCAGTCGTGTCCGACTCTTTGCGACCTTATGGCCTATAGCCCACCAGGCTCCTCTGCCCATGGGATTCTCCAGGTAAGAATACTGGAGTGGGTTGCCATTCCCTTCTCCAGGGGATCTTCCTGACCCAAGGATCAAACCCGGGTCTCCCGCATGGCAGGCAGATTCTTTACCGTCTGAGCCACCAGTAAACTATATACACGTGAGACAGTCAGGGAAGTGTGAACGTTAATAAGACACTCATATTAAGCAACTTAATCATACATAACTCTATAATGGCTATATTTGTAAATCGTTTTTTTTTTAGAGAGATACAATCTAGTATGTTTTCAGATGAAATTATGTCTGTGATTTGAGAAGGATTACAGAGATCACAGATAAAACAACCGTGCTACATAGTGACACTGCTGAAGCTGAAGGATGGTACATTACCTAGACTATTCTATTTTCATATACACTTCAAAGTTTAAAAAGAAAAATCAATCAATTTCAGGTAGGTTATATATGTAACCATTAAAAACATACACACACTTCAAAACCTTCCTAGGAACATAAAGAGTACAGAGTAGGAAGAATTCCTTACCAACATAAGGCAGAAAGCAGCTAGACTGACATCATGCACCTCCTGAAGAGACGCCCTCAGGAAGGTCACAGCGTTACCAAAAGGCGCTCCTGGCCAAAAGCACATCCTGAACCTAGTCCTGAGGAGACACCAGCAAACCCACACTGAGGGCTGGTCCACAGGGAAATGGTGCACCCTCCTCAAGAAAGTCAGAAGCCATTAAACACAAAAGCTTCACAGAGCCTTTGCAGAAGTCTTTAAAGACAGAATTCTTCCAGATGAAGAAACAAGGAGGAGAAAAAGAAACTCACTTTTGCTAAAAAGGACATTATTTGGACAACTGACAAAACCTGGGTAACCACTGCAGATTTAGAAGTGGCATGATACCTGTAAACTACTGTCAAATGGTGCAGGAAAGAAAAAAGTGTTCTGCGTGTGTGTGTGTGTGTGTGTGTGTGTGTGTGTGTGTGTAATGAGTGAGGGGAAGATAACATAAGCAAGATACAAAGCAACCGTTAAGTCTGATACAGGAGGCCTTGTAAGAATTTCTGTGTTACTCTTACATCTTCCTGTAAGTTTGAAAATGATTTCCAAATACATTTTCCATCTTTACTAGTCATCAGAAATATATAAAATTAAGTTACAAGATACCTGGCTTGCCTGGCGGCTCAGTGGTAAAGAATCCACCTAACACAGGGGAACAGGTTCAACCCCTGGTCCAGGAAGGTCCCACACGCTGCAGAGCAGCTGAGCCCAAGCCCCACAACTGCTGAGCCCGTGCCCTGGCGCCCAGGAGCAGCAGCCACCAGCCCACAGGACACAGTGCCTGAAGCCCACGCGCCGCGAGCAGGCCTCGCAGCGGCGCAGCGCGTGGAGGCACTCTGCTGCCACTGCTGTCGCGGCAGAGAATCAGTCCAGCTGCGCCGAGTCCCCACCGCCTCAGCGCGGCGCTGTGCAGACATAGACAGCTCTGCCAGCGGCCGGAGGCGGCGCAAGCCCGGGAGGGGGCTCCCCACAAAGCCTTCCGCTGCAATGCCCGCCCCTGCCCTTCTTCAGCCCGGTCAGGACAGACCTACTCAGGAAAGAGCATCGGCAACTAACACAGCGTTCTCGTGAAAGAGCTCTGCGCGGCCCAGTGACAGAAGGAGATGAGTCAGCTCGGGCCCTGCGCGCAGCCAGGGGAGTCCGCACCTGTCCCAGTCCTCGTCCGCAGCTCTTCTCCTCCAGGACCGCTCCGCACCAGGCTTATCAAACTGGTCAAAGTCATCATCTGCGAAGGAGAGGCCGTGAGTCAGTCTTACTCAACTTAAACAGACACATTCAAACATTCAAACAATTTGTTTCTTCTAAGGATTCCCAATATGACATTTTTAAAACACTAAACTTTCATATATATAACAATTTCAAATGTTGTTTGTTTGTTGTTTAGTCACTAAGCCAGGTCCCATGGACTACAGTTCACCAAGCTCCCCTGTCCATGGCATTTCCCAGGCAAAAATATTGGAGTGAGTCACCACCTCCTTCCCCAGGGGATCTTCCCAACCCAGAAATCAAACCCACGTCTCCTGCATTGGCAGGCAGATTCTTTACCACTGAGCCTACAGGGAAGCCCATAAATGCTTTAGCCATTTTTAATCATTAAAAAATTGTAAAGTACATATCTACCTAAAGAAAATCAATTTATTGAACATTCTTAGGCATGAAAGCTCGCTGATAGAACAGTTAAAGGGGTGCAACTGACCCCTGCATTGCTCAAGGGTCAACTGTAATAATAAAGCTAAAAATCAATCCTAGAAAGAAAACTGAAAATTCACAAGTACATGGAAATTAAACAACACACTTCACCAACCAATAGGTCAAAGAAGAAATAAGAACCAGGGAAATAAGAATATACTTTGAGAAAAATGAACACAAAAATACAACATACCGAAGTTTACGGGATGCAGCAAAAGCAGTACATGGAAGGAACTTTATTGCCTACACTAACAAAGAAGAAAGATCTCAAACCAACAGCCTTACTTTAAATCTTGAGGAACTAGACAAAGAAGAAGAAATTAAACCAAAAGATTGCAAAAGAAAATAAAGATTAGAGCAGAGGCACATGAAACAGACTAGAAAAATAAAACTGTAAAAACTATTTTTAAAAAATTAGCATATAGAACTCAACAATATATTAAAAGAATACCCTACATCACAACCACATAGATTTATCCCAGGAATGAAGGGTTCATTTAACATTCAAAAATCAGTACTTTTTAAAAATCAATATAATAGATCATATTACAAAGGAGAAAATTACATTATCATCTCGACATAAGGAGGAAAATCAATTTAAAAATTAATCAAAACTAAATATCCACATTCCTAAAAACTCTGAATAAATCAGGAATAGAAGAGACTTTCCCCAACTTGATCAAAGGGCATCTGTACGGAAAAACGACAGCAACCACCACAAGTGAATGCTTTCCTCTAGACTCTGGAACAAGACTGGGGCTGAGTCCCAACACTGCAATTCAGCACTGTGATGCAAGTCCTACCTAGTCAACCAGACAAGGAAAAACAAAAGGAACTCAGACTGAAAAGGAGGAAGTAAAAAAACCACCATTCTTCACAGCAAACATCATCAGCTATGGAGAAAATCACACGGAATCTACAGGGGAAAAGCACGAAAACTAATAAATGAACTGAATTAGGTTGCAAAATATGAGATCAGTTTTAAAAAGTCGACAAATTTTTTTTTTACATACAAGGAATGAACTATTGGAAATTAAAAACCATATCCTTGCAATAACGTAAAAATATGAAATATATACTAGGGATACCCATAATAAAAAAATGAGAAAGACCTGTAAACTAAGGACTATGAAACACTGCTGAGAGAAACTAAATACCTAAAGTGCAAAATCACCATAATTCCCCAAAGGAGACGAGAATGATTGCAAATGTGGGTAACCTTGTGCTTGGACAAAAGCACAATAAGCAAAGGAAAAAAAAATCTGATAAAGCAGAAAACAAAAACATACTTTCTTTCCACTTGGATTATGGAATGCAAAAACAAGATAAAAAAGAACCCTAACTCAAAATCCTAAGAAACAAACTAAGACCTTGAACTCTGTGGGCCTGTTTTTATTCTTCTTACATTTTCTGCATCACTTTCCTTCTGTTCTCATTGAGAATACAGACAAGTCCTTTTTAAGTTTCTGTTTGTCATACTGAGCAGAACCAAGAAAACAAAACGTACCCACACTAGTCCAAAGTTTTAAAGGAAGAAAGCACAACCCTGGATTCTAAGGGGAAGAGTGATCCGTATCTAGAAACCCAAGGCCAAACGTCATGCTAGACATACATGTTATTAAGGGAATCAGTGTTCCCTGTCAGCAAGACTAAAAACAGTTACTGGAATTTTTACAGCTTTCAATTACACAGCAATTAGGTCTCTATAATGAACACAAGGCTTCTACTTAGCATTCTTATTACTTCCTCATCTTTTCCAGGAACCTGGAACTTAGATTAGAAACTTTATACAATACTAGTCTGGAACAGGATTCTACCAACTGTCTAATCCAAGAATCGGCAAACTACAGTCCCCCTGGTATGTTGGTTCTGCCACCTGTTTGAGTCCAAATTTAGCTACTGCCCAGACTTATGTAAATAAGCCTTTACTGGAACATACATGCTAATTCAATCACAAACTGTCCACAGCTCTCAAGCTATAAGCGCAGAGCAGAGAACTGCAACAGAGGCCCTGTGACCTACACAATCTAAAGTATTTACCATTTGGCCCTTCACCAGGTTTGCCCTAGTACAAAGGCTCTCAACCTTCTTTCTTTTGCCACGGCACCATCCTCACGTATACATCTCGTATTCTGAATCGCTGACTCAAAATTCCGTATTTTATAGGTGAGGAAATCCAGACCCTTTATTTAAACAGTATTTATTTAAACTTTATAGTAACAAGAAAAAAAGAATCAAACTAACATTCAAGAACTTTCAAAGTAAGCTATTTGTCCTACAAAATAACTCAAACTGAGTAACCAGGCAAATTTTCAGAAAGAGCCCATATATCATGTTGCTTGAAAAATAATTTGTAGTCTTGTTTTAAAACTCTTATTTGCATGGGACCCTAGACAGGCTTCCCTAAAACAAACTGTGTACTTTGCTTCTGAAGTGTGGTACACACTGACCATTTGTTTGCCTGTCTTACAACTTAATCTCCTCTTCCTGTGTTTGGGAAACAATCAGAGTGAGTCCTGAAAGACGACAGGGCTCTGCTCCCGATATGCAAGCCATAAAAGCTAAACCCTTGGGTCCTCTGTTAGCCTGAGGAACCTGGAAGAGGAAAATGGTCTGAGCTCAGCCAACTGAACGTTCCCATCATGACTTGGAATCTAGAGGAAACGACGCCCCGTTTCTTTTCCCAAGAATCTCTTTCTAAAAGGGAAACCCTCTAAAGTGCTAATGGGTAGTTGCTATGTCGTGAAGTGTAAGGAAGAAATGTCACAGAAAGGGAGAAAGTCCTTCCAGCAACCGCTGCCCCTCCTCCCACGGAGAGAAGCCACAGCCGTGCTGAGACCGTGCTCCCCGTCACTCTACACAACAGGGCAGACAATGCGAGAAACACACTTCCCAGGGCCTCCGTCCCTGTGCGCATCTGGGTTAGAGAACGCACGGCAAGGCAGGCGCAAGAAGGCTGAGGCACAGTGATCTCAGTGACTTTCATGAGACAGGCGCAGGATGGACAGACAGACACACCCACCCCCTCACAGATATGAGGTCCTCAGAGGCCAGAACGGGCTCCTGAAAACCATGCGTGGCTCTGGGCTGGCAGGGGCTGTGACAGTCAGAGGGGGCCTCTTGAGACTCAACACCATCAGAAGTCAGCACCCAGTGCTGGAGGCAGAGACTGACCACTGGCGCTTCCACAATAGTCTTCAGTTCCAACAGCTTCCAGGCAAACTCTTAACCATCAGGCTCTGGTCCTCAGACTAAAGTGTTCCTGACCACCACACCCCCAGCCTTTCCAAGGGCGGATGATGTTGTTCAGTCGCTCAGTCATGTCAAGACTCTGCAACCCCACGGACTCCCCTGCCAGGAGTCCATGAGCACACCAGGCTCCCCTGCCCTTCACTACCTCCAAGAGTCTGCTCTAACTCATGTCCATTGAGTCGGTGATGCTATCCAAGGGCTGTAGAAGCCTCTAATCCCTGTATTAAAACCCTTCATACTGGGAAGGGTTCTTTCCTAACTGAAATAAGATTAATAATAAAACTTCAAATAAGTCTAGCACTACTGAAGCACTGAAGAGAGGCTTCATTGTACTTCAACAAGCTAGCTATATTCATTTTCTCATTTAATCCATCCCCACATTCTCATTTGATAGATGTGAAAACTAAGACTAACCAAAAATTAGTAAATAGCAAAATCAGATTTAAACTCAGGTCTACCAAATACTACGTATAATGCTCTTGAGTTTATTTAGGAAGCAACTATAGTTAACAATGGGGCTTCCCTAATAGCTCAGTTGGTAAAGAATCCACCTGTAATGCAGGAGACCCTGGTTCAATTCCTGGGTTGGGAAGATTCTCTGGAGAAGAGATAGGCTACCCACTCCATTATTCTTGGGCTTCCCTTGTAGCTCAGCTAGTCAAGAATCCACCTGCAATGCGAGAGACCTGGGTTCGATCCCTGGGTTGGGAAGATCCCCTGGAGGAGGGAAAGGCTACCCATTCTAGTATTCTGGCCAGAAGAATTCCATGCACTGTATAGTCCTACAGTCCATGGACTTGTAAAGAGTCAGACACGATTAAGCGACTTTCACTTCACATAGTAACAAACCTTCTGATACATAAAAATATTAAAAGGTAGCGAGCCATAACTTCCTCAATCTTTAGGTAGAAAGATCATTAATCCATGGAATCTACAAAATCATGAAGGCAAAATCAACTATTAACCTACAGGTTGGAATCCTGTGGCCTATAAGGAACATGCTATCTTTGAATTATGTTGTCTTTTTTTTTTTAAATCAATTTGATTCTCAACCTTTTTAAAATGCAACTATATGTAAGTACCAGAGTTACAGCTTCTCTCAAAAACAAAAAAAAAAATATTATCAAAAGATCTAGAAAGTAGACCCACACTTTGCTGTAGCTAAATCAGCGAAGATGAGCAGCACCCAGCCAAACAGGAACAAAACTCCTGTGTCTGTAAGAAAAGGAACTGAAGAGGAAATGGCACCAGCCGCCACAAGCCTGTTCAAGGCCCAGACCACCCTGACGTCTGATGTTCTACAGTCCGAGCCGTACAACTCTTTTTGAGTCTGTGAACTACCAAAGTACCTATCCTTCCAAAAGATTCTCTATGAACTGCTTCATCATGCTTATGTTTTGTATATAAATGTAGCATCAAAATTCAATAACAAAAATTTCAGAAAGTGAGAACAGAGAAAAAGAGAGTAAAACAGTACCACAAGATAATTTCCCAGAACTGAAGGACACACATTTCCAGACCAAAGTATCCACCAAATGCAGCACAAGAAACATAAGACGACCTATGCTAATGAATTCTGTAACAATGAGGAGGAACTGTTAAAACCTTCCAGGAAGAGAAAAAAGGTCACACACAAATGATAAGGAATCAGAACATCCGCAGACTTCTCAAGAGCAGACCTAGAAGCCAGAAAACAACACAGCAGTACCACCAAAACCCTAAGGAAAAGGAATCTAAGTCAAAGCCAGACTTGAAGACTCGACCATATCAATCAAGTATGAAAATAAAGTAAGAATTCATTCAGACATGCGTGGGTTTTCAAAAAATTTACCTTCAACATACTCACTCTTAGGAAGCTGAAACCTTTAACTCTATAATTTGTTATACTGAAAATATAAACATAAAGAATAATTTTTCCAGAAAAAATTATCAAAATTGACCCGTGGATTTAAAAAAGTTTAACAGACCAATAATAGAAAGAAGAAACCAAAAATTAAATAGGCAACAGACTCAAATGGCTTTGCAGATAAGAGTTCTTTCAACATTTAACAAAGAGATTTTTACAATGTCCAGAAAATTTCACAACTCATTCTAGGTAGTTAGCCTATCTTATAAAAAACAGAAGAGCACCATGTGCAGACACAAATACAAAGAAAACTATAAGCCAATCTCTCTTACGATCATAGATAGTCCTAAAGTGAAAAGCAACCAAACACCAAAAAGAACAAAACCTGAAGAACCAGAAGATTGTGAACCCAAGAATGTGTGGCTGATTCGGCACTGGAAATTTATCAATACATTACAATAAGGTATTAAAGAAAGGGCCTCATGGGACTTCCCTGTGGTCCAGTGGCTAAGACAACCCACTCCCAATGCAGGATTAGATCCTTAGTCTGGAAACTAGATCCCATATGTCGTTGCTTGGTCGCTAAATCGTTTCCAACTCTTTTGTAACCCCACAGATTGTACCCTGCCAGGCTCCTCTGTCCACGGATTTTCCAGGCAAGAATACTGGAGTGGGTTGCCATTTCCTTCTTCAGGAGATCTTCCCAACCGAGGGATCGAACTTGCATCTCCTGCTTGGCAGGGGGAAGGATTCTTTACCACCGGCCACCTGGGCCACTAGATCCCACATGCTGCAACTAAAATGCCACATGCCACAATGAATATCAAAAATCCCATGTGCTGCAACTAAAACCTGGTGCAGCCAGATAAATAAATAAAAATAAATAATAAAAAGGGACCTCATGATCACGATGCAGACAAAGCATCTGATAAAATCAAAACTCTAATTCAAAATACAAACTTTTTTAGCTAAACAAACAATAACTATCAGAAACCCACAGCAAACACCATACACACTGGTAAAACATTAAACAAACATTCATTAAACTCTTGACAAGAAGGCAAGATATAGATGCCTGTCATCACCCTACTACCAAATATTATTCAGAAGGACTTAACAATGAAAACTTCTAGAACAAAAAGTACAAGAAATGAGACATAAATACTGAAATAGGGGAGACTGCAGATACAACAGTCTGAAAACCTAAAGCATCAAGTATTAAAACAAAATTCCAAAAGCCAGTTATATATAGTGACCAAAAAAATAGTTTTTCTATAGTAAATCAGCAAAAAATTCCAGAATACTATGTGATTAAAAAAATCATACCATCCACAACAACAAATACAAACTATCTAGGAATAACACAGAAACATAAAAGAGCTACACAAAGAGAATCTTACTAAGTTAAGTTCCATCTGCTGTTCAGTTGTTAAGTCTTGTCGGACTCTTTGCAACCCCATGGACTGCAATGCATCAGGTTTCCCGGTTCTTCACCATCTCCCAGAGTTTATGGAAACTCATGTCCATTGGATCCATGATGCCATCCAACCATCTCATCCTCTGTCACCCTCTTCTCCTGCCCTCAATCTCTCCCAGCATCAGGGTCTTTTCCAATGAGTCGGCGCTTCACATCACGTGGCCAAAGTATTGGAGCTTCAGCATCAGTCCTTCCAATGAATATTCAGGGTTGATTTCCTTTAGGATGGACTGATTTGATCTCCTTGCTGTCCAAGGGACTCTCAAGAGTCTTCTCCAGCACCACAGTTCAAAAGCATCAATTCTTTGGCACTCAGCTTTCTTTATGGTCCAACTCTCACATCCATACATGACTTCTGAAAAAACCATAGCTTTCACTAGACGGATGGCAGAGATCCCTTCTCCTCTGGAAGTTACCTTAGTAAAACTGTCTTCCTATCTCCAATCTCTTCTATTCCAATATTTATATATCCCAACCTCTTAGATCAGTGCTTAGCACGGAGGAAATACTCAAAAATGTGGTAGATGACTGATGAACAAAAAAGAGCTT